TTGTTCGCTAACACCATCCTATTAGATGTTTATATTGTTCCAATTAAAATATATTTCCAAAATATGTCAACAGGCATATCTGTGCATGCAGCTTTCTGGCTTGAAGTATTTTTCTTCAAGATAAGCTTGTAGTAGTACATTATCAGGTTGGCAAACATAGATGCTTTTACAATATCTGAGACTGAACAATGTCAGAAACCAAAACAGAATGTCTTCAAGATGTTACAGCAGTCTATGTCCTGATGTCTTCAACTGGTTATAATATATCCCTCTGATCAAACTGGCCAAGATTTAAAAACTTTAAAATCCTCAGTATTCTGGTGGTGTCGCAGACTAAACTCTGTTGGCCCCATTAATGTGTTAAAATTCTAACCTCCGTACCCTTAGACTCCTCTTTGGTACTCATGAGCCCACAGCTCCACTCTTCAGTTTCTTCTTACCCTTCTCTCACCTTTAGTTCAAACACAGGTGTATCAATCACTTCTGCTCCATGGCGCTTGAAGCAGCGGATGATGACGTCAAACACCTTTTCACGAACTGCCATCTGCCGGGGACTGTAGTCTCTTGTGCCCTTGGTTATCAAAAACAAAACTCAAGTATAACATTTAAAACAAAGAACAAGGGGCTAGAGGGACGATGGCTCAGTGGCTGCTCTTCCAAAGGACCTGGGTTCAATTCCCAGCACCCACATGGCAACTCACACCTATCTGTAACTCCAGTTCCATGGGATCCACACCCTCACACAGATATACATGCAGGCAAAACATCAACACACATAAAATAAATCACAACAAAGAACAATAAACCGTAGAAGTATCCACAGCCTAGCTCAGCAACAAGGAACACAAATGATGCTGCAAGCGTGGGTTTTCCTATTGGCCACCAAGTGGGAAGACAGTGGAGTAGGCTCTGTTCCACAGAATTCAGAACCACTTTCTCAATACATTTGCTTGTATAGCAGACAATACCCCACCAGACAAGCATATTATCAATTCAAAGTGGTTCAACAGATTTAATTCAAATGTTTACCTAAGAGCACTCAGCAAGTGTGTAGTAGAGTCTGTCTCCCATCCAGGTCAGAGTTTTTAGTCTGGGCCATTATATATCCATGCTCCAAAACCTTTACATACTCTTAGCTATTATCAATTCAAAGAATATTATTTCCATGTACATTTGCCACATTCTAAATTAAAAGTGCAAAATTTATCAATATACTATTACAAATTATCACAAATAATATTTTGAGAGGCCAGGCATTGCTGGTGCATGCCTTTAATCCCAGCACTTGGGAGCCCGAGGCAGGAGGATCTCTGTGAGTTTGTGGCCAGCCAACCTGGTCGACAAAGCAAGTTCCAGGACAGTTAGGGCTGCCTGGGGGGTGGGGATGGGTGGGGAAAGATTCAGGCGATAATATTTTGAGAGAATTAAAAAGTAAAATGAGAAGAAAAACATCAATTATATTTTTGTAAATCTTGTTTTCAATCTTATTTCATTATGTGTACAGGTGCATCACTGGCATGTCTGGTGCCCATGGAGGCCAGAAGAGGATGTAAGATCCTCTAGAACTAGAAGTACAAGTAGTTGTAATGTGCCATGTGGATACTAGGAATCAAACCCAGGTCCTCTGGAAGAGCAACAAGAGCTCCCAACAGCTGAGCCATCTCTCCAGCACCATTTCTGCAAATTTTTAATGTTTTCTTTAATAAAAGTCAGCCAATTTTCCTATCTGCTTTTTGTATTAAATTTCTATTGCTGTATATGGGTCTGTTTGAAAAATATGAAGAAACTCTATTTTTACACAGGTGTGTTCTTACTCTAATGAGCTTCTCAACTGTGGATATTCTTTTTTGATGCTACACCAAAATCTAACAAGTGCTTGTTTCTTACCTACTGGTTGCAATGTGCAATCTGAAAACTACAATAATGGATTGTTACATTTAAAAGCACTAGTCAACTGGGGAGGGTGGAGCATGCCCATAATAGCAGTGTTTGGGAGGGAGAGGCTGGAGTATCCACATAGGTTCAACCCAGTTTGGTTTACAGAGTGAGTGAGTCAACCAGGAAAATAGGGCAAACTCTGTCTCAAGAAAACAAAACAAAACAAGCACTATTCTCAGCCATATATGGTAACTAGAGTTATTAAATACATGGAGACAGTGGCATAGTGATCACCTACAGGCTGAAGGGAAGATGAAAAGGGGAATATTGTTAAATGGCTGCAGTTTCAATTTTGAATGGTTAAAAAGTTCTGGAAAAGCAGGTAAAACAGCTTCTCTTTCCATACTTGGGAGGCCAAGGCAGGATTGTGGTGAGTTACAGGCCAGCCTAGGCCACAGATTGAGGCCCTATCTGGAAGAAAAAAGATGAGTAATGTTGATTATACAATAATATATTTCATGCTGCAGAATTATACATTAAAATCTACATTGAGCCAGGCAGCAGTGGTGCACACCTTTAATCCCAACAAAGGCAGAGGCAGGCATCTGTGAGTTTGAGGTCAGCTGGTTTACAAAGTGAATTCTAGAACAGGCAGAGCTGGAGTTACTGGTAAGTGTGAGCTTACCAGCTTATAGTAATAGTGAGTGCTGAGAACCTAACTCAGGTTTTCTAGATGACCAACAAGCACCCTTAATACTGAGCCGCCACCTCTCTGGCCCCCATTTCTTTGAGATTTTAATTGACCTTTGAAAAAGAACTGTGTGGGATGTGTGGTGGAACATGCCTGTAACTCCGGCACCTGTCAGGTGGAGGCCTGAGGATCAGAGTTTCAAAACTACTGCTATACAGCAAGTCTGAGGCTGGCCACACTTTGTTTTTTTTTTTTTTTTTTTTTTTTTTTTTTTTTGTTTTTTAAAACGTGTAGAAAGGCACAGCTTAATGAATTTGATTTGAAGAATTAACCTCAACACAGAAGAATTAATCATACCATCCACCTTCACCCTTCCCCCGGCTTTTGGACTCAAGGCCTTTATTTATTATCTTACCAACTAGTCCTCACTGGCCTGGAACTTGTACACCAGTCTTTCCTGACTCCTAGCACCTAGGCTGGGCAGCTTGTAACTGCCTGTAACTCCAGCTGCCCCCTCACACAAGGACACACAGGCCCACACAGCCAGTGCTACAGAGATACCCTGTCTCAATAAAATAAAATCTCAAAGAAATGATGACCACTAACTACTGAAGCGATTGAATAAAGTAGAAAATAGGGAATTTGTGATATATCAGCCTTTCTTCGCTTAAACCCAATGATTGTCTTAATAGCACTAAACTCACAAAGTACCATTTTCTGGGTACTGGGATTAAAGAAAGTACACCACGATGAATGGCTTCTCTCTTCTTTGGAAATCAACTTAAATATATTCATTAGATATATGTTTATCTCCGGGCACTCAGTCAAAGCTTCTGCTAAATAAACTTTATGAATAACTACTACAAAGTTGTTGTAGAGGGCGGGAGAGATGGCTCAGCAGGTAAGCACACTCAATGCTCTTCCAGAGGACATTAGGTCAATTTTCAGTACTATGGCTCACAACTCCAGTTGCAGGGAATCTGACATCCTCTCCTGGCCTCTGCAGGTACCTGTACTCATGTGTGTGCACGCGCACGTGCGCATGCTCGACCGCGCGTGCCTGTACACACAGACACACATGCACACCCTAAGTGCATATCATCCTAACAGTCTTTACCTGGCTATGTCCTACCCACTTGAGAGGTCCATCGATTTCCTTAGTGTGGCTTCTCAGATTCCCCAGCTACCCCTTATTTTTCTCAGAACACCTCTGTAAGTTTCTTTTTTAAAGTTTCTTTGTTATTTTTATACTGTGTGTGTGTTCATATATCTGTGTATTATTATGTGAACGTGTGGGTGCAAGTGCTGCCTACTGAGGCCAGGGGCATCTGATCCCCCTGGAGCCGGAGTTATAGACAATTGTGAGTCGCCTGATGTAGGTTCAGGGACTCAAACTTGGATTCTCTGCATGCCCTTAATTGCTGAGCCATCCCTGCAGCCATAACTTTCTTCATACCACCAGTCATATTTTGTAAATGCACAGCCCTGTGTGGAATTGTTGTCTTAAATATCTGTCTTAGTGGAATGCAAGAGTCACAAAGACAGGCGTCCAGCATGGTACATTCAATGTACACCACCACACACATAGACCTATTCAATGAATACGTAATGAATGAAATGAGTAGCAGTTAGCAGGCTGACTCCCCTGAGCAGCTTTGTTTATGTCATTACCGAATGACTGAGGTTGAGATCACCTCACCTAAGTTGCCTATACCAACTACTGACTCCTTTGCAATATTTCGGATTGTGAGCAGGACCGCCCTCTGAGGCCTCTCACAGGAGTAGTTTACCTTGGGGGTTTTGAGCACAAACTTCTGTTTGCCTTCATCATGACCCAGCTGTGCTTTCAGTTTTAGGAGTTTCGTCACCTCCTCCTCGATCTGTGGAGGGAAAAACGCCGCTGGATTGTCCATTTGTCACCCCTCCCTCCCTCCCTCCCTTTTCATGCACTCGACAGTCTTAGGTCTAGCCTTGCTTCTCTCGGGACCCACCCTGGCTACCTTCTCACTCAGCCTTTCATTCTAACAGCCTATTCATTCACACGCCTGACCTCCAGCCAGACCACCCTCTATGTTCCTCTGGTTTTGTCGTGCCCCTCTCCTTCCATCTGAGTCGCACCTGCTCAGCGGAGGCTTTCTGCTGCTTAAGGCCCCTCACATGCTCTCCCTGGAGTCGCACCAGCTCCTCCAGCGCAGCGCGATCTGCCATCCTGGCTGCCAAACGGAACTGCCTGCTGTCTAACCCCGCCTTGGTAGACTTAGCCTACGTTCGGATGACTTCCGGCTATAGAGTCACCGGCTTTCGTGCCTAGAACGTTTCTGACGAGAGCGAAAACACTTCCGGTTCAGGGAGCGTGAGATATTTGGAGTTCGGTGTTACTCTCGACTAACTCCGACCTCAGGTGTTTTCAGGAGCTGGTGCTAGACTCTTCAGCTCTCTGTCGCCTTTGTGTTCCAGGAAGCCCGGCGTCCTGCTGCATGATGTCCCACCTGGGGCCCCTGCGCTGCGGCGCCTGGGCTTCGCTGCTCGGCCAGCTCCTGCGACCTCCGCACGCTGTGTGCATCCGGGCGGCAGGCTGTCACAGCCAGGTGAGCCACCCTGAGCCGGCTGCACCGACTTCCGGAGGGGGCCTCCTGGTCTGAAAACTTAGCTTTGCAGCCTATATTGTATTATTACAATTGTGTTTTTTAGTTTTTTAAAGGTTTATTTCTTTAATGTGTGTGGCTATTTTGCCTGCATGTATGTGTGCACTGCGTACGCGCCTGGAGCCAGCAGAGGCTGTGGTGAGCCACTCACCATGTGGTTGCTGGTGATGGGACCCAGGTCCTCTCAAAGATCCGTGTATCTCCATCTCTCCAGCCCTGAAATTGGTTTTTATTGGATGCTTTTGTCATTTTGTTATTGGAGCACTCTCAGAAGTTGAGGGTTTCATCTCCATTTTACAGTCGAGTAAGCGGAGAACACAGGGTTAAATGACTTACAGGGATACATAGCAACTAAATATTATAATGAGGTTTACTCTCAATCATCTGAAATTCTTGAACTTGATAGAATTTGAACCATATTTATATAGATAGTCTCCCAAGCTATAAATGAACCGAGTTCATGCACATGAAACGAATTTACCCTAAAATGAATCTCAAAAACATTTTCAGCGATAGTTGAATTTTGAAATTTGAATAAGGGGTATGGACTTGAACTCAGACCTCTCTTTAGGGACTTTACAAAGTATGGGATTACCACCTTTTGTATTTCTGGAAGGGCGTACAATCTTTGGGTCTTCAAACCTGATTTTTTTATAAGTACATTTATATATTAATTCATGTGTGTGAGTGTTGGTGTGCCATGACACATTTCTGTTCTTCACCTATGGGGTCTGGGGATTGAATTTAGGTGGTCATGATAAGTGTAGAGCACCATTACCCATAAGCCATTTCACTAGCACTAAGTCTCTCTCTGAAAGTAGATTTTTTTTTTCTTTTTCTTTTTTTTTTTTTTTTTTTTTTACCATCATGCTCAACAGGATCTTTTACTCATTTTAAGTCACAGCATTTTGCTAGTCTGTTATATCTTTTCCAATCAGGAAATTTATTCCTATCATTCCATAGGTTTTATTGTGTGTGAGTGTTCAGTGTGTGAGAGGACTGCTTGTGGGAACTGGTTTTCTCCTCTAACCATGTGAGTGGGTCCCAGGGATCTAACTCTGGTGGGCAGGTTTGGTGGATACCCACTGAACCATCTCCTTGGCCCAGGTTTGTACCTTTTTCTTGGGTTGGTTCTGTCTTTGTGTTCCATTTACCCTGTCTCCAGATCTGATAAATGACTTTATTTGTTTGTTTTTGAGACAGGGTCTCACTATGTAGCCTTGGTTGGCCTAGAGCTCACTGTATAAATTAGGTTGACCTTAAACTCATAGTAATCTGCCTGTCTGTGCCTCCTGACTGCTGGGTATAAAAGCATGTGCCACCTTTTTTACTATTTGAGTAAGATCTGAGAATTGGAGATCCTTTGGCTTATTTGTTTGAGACAGGGTCTTACTATGTTGCTCCAACTGTCCTGGAACTCACTCTGTAGACCAGGCTGGCCTCATACTCACAGAGAGCCTCCTGCTTCTGTCTCCTAAATGCTGGGATTACATATGTGTGCTACCATGTCTAGCTGAGAACTGGAGTTCTAATTCTTACTTGAAAAAGTTTAGTGATGGAAGTTGTGGGTTCTGTTTCTTTATTATTCTCAGGGGTTTCAACTTTTTCAGACATTTAAAAACTCCAAGCAGTGAAGAAGCTTGTGTAATAAAGACTGGACTTATTATGTATTACAGGCATAATTGGAAATTCAAAGTGAATTATTGAGGGTGAAAGGTCAGGGTAGACAAAATGGTGTTCAGGAAACTTTTTGCGTGGGATAAAAGGTTTTCTGAGGTTGATGGTCCACAGGGTCAAAGATGTCATAGATCGGGCCAGTGTCCAGAGAAGGCACATCTCATATTCCTTTTTCTCCCAGGTTGCACAGGCAGTGTTAACATCCCAACAGAAGCCACATCAAGAGAAACCAAATTTTATCATCAAGGTTCCAAAGGTAACACACACCCTTTGCCCACCCGTCTGTCAGAGCACTAAGGAGGGCAAGCCTGCTCTCCTTACCTCTCCTGTTTAACCTAAATCTTTTTTGGGGGAAGGGGCTGTTTTATTGTTCTTGAAATTCTAGATGGGGGCTCAGGTTAGTTTTCTACCTTAGATTATAGACATGATTTAACCTTTGGCCTTAAATGGTCTTGATTTTTACTTTGACTACTTTTGTTTTCCAGGGCACCAGGGATTTAAGTCCTCAACAGATGGTTGTGAGGGAGAAAATTCTTGAGAAGATTATTAGCTGCTTTAAACGTCATGGGGCAAGGGGGTTGGACACACCCGCGTTTGAGCTAACAGTAAGTGCAGAAGGTGCTGAGAATACCGTTGTTTCCCAGCCTTCAGTTTCCCATTGGCTTCTCATCTGTGTTCCCTAGTCAGTCACTGAGTGGTGGCTTGTTCTGTCTGACTCTTGCAGGAAATGCTCACCGAGAAGTATGAAGACAACTGTGGGCTCATGTACGATTTGAAGGATCAAGGTGGAGAGTTGTTGTCTCTTCGATACGACCTTACTGTATCCTTCCTGACCTGTTTTCTGCTTGAATCCAGAGGACTCAAGGGAGTAGAGGGATTTTGGCAGAAGGGAGTAGAGGGATTTTGACGGTACCTCTCATTTCCGATTTTTCCTAGGAGGCAATTCTGACATCAGAGCCTAACCTCTAAAGGCCCTGTTATTTAACTTCTGTGCGTGTGGATTCTCTTTTGAGGAAGTTTGCAGAAACAGAGATTATTGACCCTAGCTCCAGAGATTCCCTAAGTGCTATCACTGGAGTGGTACTGTGCATGTAAGAGGAAATTGATTATTGTGTGTGTGTAGATGGTGTGTATGTGGACATGCATGTGCAGATCAGAGGACAACTTTGTGGAATCAGTTCTCTCCTAACTCCAGTGTGGATTCTGGGGATAGAACTCAGATTGCCAGACTTGCACAGCATGCCCCTTCCCCACCTGCACTGTATTGCAGATGCTAACCCAGAGGTTCTCAACCTGTGGGTTGTGACCCCATAGGGGTTTAATATCAGATATTTACATTACAATTTATAACAGTAGCAAAATTACAGTTAGGAAGTAACAACAACATTAATTTTATATTTGGGGTTCACCACAACACAAGGAACTGTATTGAAGGGTCACAGCATTAGGAAGATTGAGAACTGCTGCTCTAAATAGAATTCTGGAAAATATGCCTGTAGTCTTTGGTCTGTACCTTCAGAAATAGGATTTTAAATTGTAGGCAAATTTTGTTCTCAAACTTTACAGCTTGACAGCCCTGAATGGGAGAAAATGGATTAGGCCCACGTTCCTGAGTCATTTCTATTCCTGCCTCTCTTTTCTAGTCACCTTTCATTTTCAGTAACTGAGATACCTTCATCCATACCAGCACTGCCAGGCTTCAGAGACAATGGGAAACAACCCTGGAAAGGTCCATGTTCTCATTCTTTAAGATAAGGATGATTTCTAGGAACCCAGTTTTTCCTCCTGTCTGAATAGGGGGTATAAACATTGAACATAGTATCTTTCTTCCTCAACCTGTTTACATAAGGTCCCTTTTGCTCGCTATCTGGCCATGAATAAACTAAAGAAGATGAAACGATACCAAGTTGGAAAGGTGTGGCGACGAGAGAGCCCGGCCTTAGTCCAGGGCCGCTACCGGGAGTTCTGCCAGTGTGTGAGTGACATGACTGGGGTATCAGAGTTGAGTGATAGTGAGGTTGGGGATTAGCAGATGAGTGGCAGGTTTGTTTTTCTCCCTTTTTGTTTGTTGAGATAGGTATTTGAGACATCTATGTATTCCTGACTGTGTTGGAACTGACCAGGCTGGCCTTGAACTCACTGAGAGATCCATCTGCCTCTGCTTCCCAAGTGCTGGCATTAAAGGTGTGTGCCACTATGCCTGGCTTGCTTTCTCTTTTTCCTGTAGGATTTTGACATTGCTGGTGAATTTGACCCTATGATCCCTGATGCAGAATGTCTGAAGATCATATGTGAAATCCTAAGTGGATTGCAACTGGGGGACTTTCTCATTAAGGTGAGGGAGAAGTTTGGATTGGGCCTGTGAAATTGTCTTTGTACTGCTTTTATGAGTGAAGGGATGGTCATTGTTTTGAGGAAAAGGGCATTGATAGGACACGGGCTAATTCCATTGCGTTCACAGGTAAATGACCGGCGGGTTTTAGATGGGATATTTGCTGTCTGTGGTGTTCCTGAGGACAAGTTCCGTACCATCTGTTCATCAATAGATAAACTAGACAAGGTAACAAAACATACTTTAAACAGACCCTATCTGGATTTCTTCCCTGCCCTCTAATCCATGTCATTAGGGAATAAGGAGACCATGGCTGGAAGTAGCTATTTATGGGAAAGAAAAGGTTAAGGAGACATTTTTTAAACAAAGTCTGAGTTAAGTCATACAGTGGGGATTGTGGCTGGGTTTCTTAAGTTGCCTCTGAATTTACTGTTAGTCTCTTAAGATGTCTATATCACATGAAAATGAGATGTCCTGCCTCAGTTAGGTAAGAGGAGCTTGGGGTTGAGCTAATGTTTGGGTCTTAATGCAGATGTCTTGGGAAGATGTAAGACATGAGATGGTGGCAAAGAAAGGCCTTGCTCCTGAGGTGGCTGATCGAATTGGGGAGTATGTCAAGTGTCGTGGTAAGTAAGAACCAGGGTCTTCAGAGCCATGATAGATCAGGCTGAGGGCCACATGGGTCCAGCTTCTATCTCTGCATCAACTCCAGAGTCTGTCCTGGATAAAGTCTCTGCTTTATGTATTGTAACTGCTTTATGTCTTGTGGGCAAAGACAGAAGCAGAGAGGAAGGTCTGGCCAGGAAGGTTGTGGTCCTTTTAAAGACAATGAGCAAGTTGGACTAGAGCAGATAAATTTAAGTTGGCTCTGGTGGCACATGTTTTTAATCCCAGCAATCAAGAGGCAAGGGCAGTTGGATCTCTGTGTGTTGGTGCCCAGCCTGGTCTACATTGTGATTTCCAGGATAGCCAGGGCTATCAAAACAAGCAAACAAAAACCCCAAACAAAACAACAACAAAAACCTAGGTAAATTCAGATAAAATACACCTGGGTAAACAGCATAGACTTTCCCTGACTTTTCTCCCCAGGGGGGATATCCTTGGTAGAGGAATTGTTCAAGGATCCCAGGCTGTCCCAAAGCCAGCGGGCCCTGCAGGGCTTGTGGGACCTGAAGCTGCTATTTGAATATCTGACTTTATTTGGAATTGCTGAAAAGGTAGGCAGAGCTGGGATCGGACCTTCTGCTGAGCTCTTAGCTTCTCAGAGTCTGGTCTGGGACTGACTATAGCTTTTCTCTTACAGATCTCCTTTGACTTAAGTCTGGCCCGGGGCCTGGACTATTACACAGGAGTGATCTATGAAGCAGTACTACTGCAGTCTCCAGGACAGGCTGGAAATGAGGCTCTGAATGTGGGTAGTGTGGCCGCTGGTGGCCGCTATGACAGGCTGGTAGCCCAGTTTGATTCCAAGGGCCATAACGTGCCCTGTGTGGGATTGAGCATTGGAGTAGAGAGAATCTTCTACCTTGTGGAGCAGAAGATGAAGGTAGGTCCTAGGTAGAGGTGAAGTGATCTTGAAAGTTAAGTAGTTTCTGGAGGTGCATTTGGATTTTTATTTTTTTATTTTTTTAATGATCATTTTGCTTTTTGGAATTGATTGATAATGCAAAGGAAATGTCTTCCCTCCCTCCTTCCCTCCCTCCTTTTCTTCCTCCTTTCTTCCCTTCCTCCTCCCTACCTCCCCCTTCCTTTCAAGATTGATTCTACCTTTATGTGTATGAGTGTTCAGCCTGGATGTATGTGCATGTGTGGTGCCATTGGAGGTCTGAAATGGGGGTTCAGAGCTATGGGTGGTTGTGAGCCACCATGTCAGTGTTGAGAACTGAACTTGGGTCCTCTGAAAGAACAAGTACTCTTAACTGCCGAGCCATCTCTTCAGCTCTTCCCTCCCTCTTTGTTCCCCCTGTCCCCTTTCTTATAAAAGAGCTTTCTGAAACAGGATTTCTTTCTGAGCTCAAGTTGGCCTGAACTTAGGGTCTTCCTGCCCTAGGCACCTGAGTGCTGGGATTACAGCTGTGAGAGCTACCCTAGACTGTAGTTTTAGTTTGTTTTCTCTGTTTTATCAGGCTTCTGGTGAAAAGGTTCGAACCACAGAGACCCAAGTGTTTGTGGCCACACCCCAGCGGAACTTTCTCCGAGAACGGTTGAAGCTAATTGCAGAGCTTTGGAATGCTGGGATTAAGGTATGATGGCATTGGTATCACCATGATCTGGGTGTATGTGGACATGATGTTCATGGCTCATTTCTACCATATGCCCACAGTGGTACTCAGTACATTTTTAGCTTACCACTAGAGGGCTAGCTACTTATTTCTGGCTCCCTTGGAAATGTATGTTCTTGGGCATTTATGTGCTACAACCACTTTAAGTCCCCAACTGTCTTTTTGTCCTTTTCAGGCAGAGATGCTATACAGGAACAATCCTAAACTGTTAACCCAGCTGCATTATTGTGAGAAAACAGACATTCCTTTGATGGTCATCATTGGTGAGCAAGAACGGAAAGAAGGTGTCATCAAGCTCCGTTCAGTGGCCAGCAGAGAAGAAGTGAGTGGGAGCTTGCAGAAACACAGAGTTCCAAATGTTCTACCTCCACCCTTTTAAAGACAGGCTCTCACAAAAAGCAGAACAAAAAAGAAACTGTAATTCAAGGCCAGCCTGGTCTACAGAGCGAGTTCCAGGACAGGCTCCAAAGCTACACAGAGAAACCCTGTCTCAAAACACCAAAACCAAAACCAAAACAAAACAATAAAGACAGGCTCTCACTGTAGCTCAGACTGGCCTGGGACTGTCACCTAGGCTTTCCTTGAAACTTTGACCTTCCTGCTTCAACCTCTTAAATGCTGTGGCAACCAGCATATAGTGTTATGCTTAAATCCCAGATTCCTGTTTTTGAGACAGGGTTTCTCTGTGTAGCTCTGGCTGTCCTGGAATTCGCTCTGTAGATCAGGCTGGCCTTGAACGCAGAGATCCACCTGCCTCTGCCTCCTCAGTACTGGGATTAAAGGTGAGCGCCACCACCACCCCGCTGATCCCAGATTCTTTTCAGAGATATATTCTCTGAGGAAATACGTTTAAAACTTTTTCTTTTAAATTATATTTATTTGTGTGTAAGTGTATTTGTGTACATATATCCCCTCCATGTGTGTACATGTTACCTTATAGGCATCACATCTCTCCTTCCACCAAATGGGTCTCAGGTGTAAATAGTGAGTGAATTTGGAAAAACTGGCCAAGACATTAGTATCATTTTCTTGTTTGTCACACAAAGATTCTCTTATGTTTTAGGTGACCATTAATCGAGAAAGTCTTGTGGCTGAAATTCAGAAGCGACTGTCTGAGTCTTGATTGTTGCCTGATTTCCATCTGCTGCCCTTAGAAGAACAGTTTTCATCTAGGACTGAGTTCTGGTGGATGTTGTAACAGCTGGCCAGCATGGATGTCATACAAGTGCCTTCTGCCTCCTTCCATGCTGCATACAGAAGTAAACAGTTCTAAGGATTAGCAGCTACTCTGCTTGAGCAAACATGGGTGGCGTGCAAAAGAGGCACACTCTAGCTGCAAAGGCAAATCTGAAGTGCCTGTGAATTCTGTTGAGAGATGTTAAGATGGTTACTATGATCAAGACTCTGAACCATTGAAGTGAGAAGCTAAATATATGCTTTACTTTTAACTGTAACATGGGAACCAGATTTTGGAGAATTTATCTACATCGGACTATGGTTTGTTTGTAGAGTATTAATAAGACAGCAAGAATGGACAGTGAACAGAGATGATGTCCAAGGACCCAAGAGTGCCTCTGTTGATTCTTCCAGTTAACAGTAGACGGATGAGGCTGTTTAATAATTTTGGACATTGGACTTAATGGATGATAAGTTAGTGATCTGATCTTTTGAGATTTTGGACACCATTCCTTTTGCCATCCCATAACCTGCTCAGGAGGTTGTTCTAGAGTGGCAATATAGTATGTTACATTTCAAAAATGTTCTAGTGGGCTGGAGCGATGGCTTACTGATTAAGGGTGCATATTGCTTTTGCAGAGGACCTGAGTTCAGTCCCAGCATCCACACCAGGGTGATTACAGCTACCTGTAATTCCAGTACCAGGGGATTTGAGGCCTTCTCCTCAGCTCCATAGACACCTGCACTTAATGTGCACATACACACAGACCCACACACATAATTAAGAATAAAATAATTTTAAAAAGTAAGTCTACTTTGAGTAATTTGTTACCAAAGGATTAATTTGTGTAGACCTTAGAAAATGCTTAAATATATACTGGAGAGTCCTGTGAGCACGTAACCTTTCTAGGATGATACTTCTTATTCAGTGAAGGAAATGGTTAGAATTCCTTCTCTCTCCCACCAACTTGTATGTACAGTCATGCTGCTAAAAATTAACATTAGGGCAGATGAGTTGGCTCTGCAGGTGAGGACTATGACCTGAGTTTTATCCCTAGAGTCCACATGGTGGGAATGCAGATTTTCTTGGGCTGTTCTCTGGCCTCTACACACTTGCTGTGACATGCGAGGCATATATGCAGGCTTATATACAAAATGAAATGTAAAAAGCAAAACCCCACCAAAACATCAATTTACAGCAGGGGATATAGCTCCCTTGATAGAATACTTGTCTAGTACTTGGGAAGTGAAAGCAGGAAGATGAGAAGTTCACAGTCAGCTTTGGGGCCAGGCAAAGTGGCACAGGATTTTTAATTCTACACAAAGGGAGTAGAAGCAGTCCAATTGTTTGTGAGTTTAGACCAGCCATGGCTACATAGTGAAACCCTGTCTAAAAATAATTAAGTTGTGGTGCACATCTTTAATTCCAGCACTTGGAGGCAGAGGCAGGTGGATCTCTGAGTTTGAGGCCAGCCTGGTCAACAGAGTGAGTTCCAGGACAGCTAGAGCTACAAAGCAAAACCAACAAATAAATCAACAAACAAGCAAATAAAAAATAATTAAAAATTCAGCCTTGGATTTACATGAGATCATTTTTCAAAATAACAAAACCTCTGCCTAGTGGTGCGAATGTTTAATGGTTGCAGTGGAGTGGTGGGGCAGAGGCTGTAGAATCTCCTTGAGTTTGAGGTCAGCTAAACAAGAATAAAGACTGAAACAAAAGCAGAACACAGACAGGAATAGGGAGGATGCTCAGACAAGCGGTTGGATGAAGAGGGAAAGCAACCTCCCAGAGGGAGGTTTTTCTTTGTTGGGAAAACAGATGAGCAGAATCTTGTGACTCCAATAATACACCAAAGAAACTTTACAAAGAGTTTCAGGTCAGACAGGGCCAAATCTTGTCTCAAAACATACCACTCCTATAATCCTAGTACTTCTAAAGTGGTGTCAAGAGGTTCAGTTCAGTCATCCTCTGCATCATAGTCTGGCACACATGAGACTTTCTCAAGCACTACCCTTTCCCACAAACTTGTCAGAGTGCTGAGTGCTTCATTCTAGGACTACTGGCTGATGAGTTTCAAGATTATTGTACTGTATAAACTGAGTTTAAATTATCTCCAGTCATGGAAATGAGTGCAACCAAAGAGAAGCATGTTTCAAGGGAAAAGAGCCCGAATGTAAATGTGCTTGTCCTTTGTGCATACTTTAGAGCCAGGCTCATAGTACATGCTGGTGAATGGGGCACCAGAGCCACTGATAAGTCTTTTAGCCTTTAAAATAAGGGTTACTAGGTAAAGTGCAGCTCAGTTGGTGGAGTGTTTGATAACATGAACGAAGCTCTGGGACTGAGCTCCAGCACCACATGAACGGGGCATGGTGGCTCATGTCTGTAAACCCAGCACTTGGGAAGTGGAGGCAGGGGAACCAGAAGTTCAAGACTACTCTCCACTACACAGCCAATTAGAGTCCAGTCTGAGCTACTGGAGAACTTGTCTTTAAAAAACAAAAAAGTTTAGAAACACTGAAGATGCAGGTAAATTTGTTTAAGATTATGGGGCATTGTTTCCGAACCTCCAATTCTTTGTAAAATAAAGGAGGTGAGCTATTATTCTTCCAATGCTTGTTTTGAAAGACATGCGAAAAACGTTGGCTTTGCCCTTACTTCCGTGTTGCTTCATGCTCCTTTTGCGCTTGCGCCGTCTCCTTGGAGTAGAGGGCGGGGCTAACAGGACAGCCTTAGAATCGCTCCAGTCCTTAACGCAGTTAGAATGCGAGGCTCGAATCTTATTGGAGCGTGATCTTGCCTTATGGCTTCCGGGAGCGTTTTACGGCATTTTACGGGTTTCCATTCACTTCGCTGTGAAGATGGCGTCGGGCAGCGGGGTAGGTGTTGGTGTGAGGAGGTTTGAGGGGTCTGGGGTGGTTTTTCAGAGCTAAATAGAGACAGACTATAAGACTTAGCCAACTTCCTGACACCTCTTCTTGATCTCAGGTCCAAGGTTCGAGAACTCCCCCCCGTAAGGCCTTGGCGCAGGGACGGTGGAGTCTCGGAAGTCTCTCGGTTTGGGGTCCCGAGTACCCCAGACCCCAGGCGTTCCAGAGAGACTTCTCTTTCGAAAGGTCCTGGGGCCGCCTTAGTGACAGTTAGGCGGTTCCCTTAGTTTCTTCAAGGGAACAGGCACAACGACGGATCTTGAGCACTTTTTCCCCCTACAGACAAAAAACTTGGACTTTCGCCGAAAGTGGGACAAAGATGAATACGAGAAGCTTGCGGAGAAGAGACTCACAGAAGAGAGAGAAAAAAAGGATGGTGGGTGCTCCTTCATGAAGGGCTAAGGGGATGGTAGGGTTGATGCCGTGGCTTCAGAAGAAATGCCCCAGCAACAGGATAGTTTGCTGGTTAGTGTGTGAGGTCAAGCATGCAAAAACAAAAACAAACAAACAAAAAAAAAAACCAACAAGAAAGAAACCACCCTTAAGCTTCTTTCTTTTCTTTTACGGGAGCTGCCCCAGGGTGTGGTCCATATTCAGGGTGGGTTTTCCCATCTTAAATGATCCACATCCCACTCCACCCCCCACCCCAACAAATATAAAAAATAAACTGCAAACAAGGGCCCAGCGGCTTGGGTTTGGTTGATTCCATATGTAGCCAAGTTGACAAGCATCAGATGGCATGAAGACACTGAACATTATGCTATGGAGTATGAGTTCCCCTCTTTTGAAAGGTTTGCTTCTAGCAAATATTCAGAACGTTTCAGTTGAATTGGACAACCCATAGGAAATGCTGTAAAGTTTGCTGGCTTTAAAGTTGAGAAAAAGCCAGGTATTGGTGGTGCACACCTATAGTTCCAGCACTCTGGAGGGAGGTAGAGGCAGGCAGATCTCTGTGAGTTCAAGGCCAGCCTGGTCTAAAGAGCGAGTTCCAGGACAGGCTCCAAAACCACAGAGAAACCCTGTCTCAAAATAAATAAATAAATAAATAAATAAAGTTGAGAAAAGCTCTTGAGAGTTAAAATTATCATCCCAAGTCTGAGGCCATCGTGGTCTACATCATGGGTTCCAGGCCAACTAGAGTTTTTTTCTGGCCTCTTAACTGCTGCATAAAATATCTGTTGTGTCCCTTCCTTGAGGAATCCAAATAAAAGAAAGAGTAGTCATTTGAATTTTGGGGTTCATACATTTCTTTCCCTTTCTGGCTAAGAAATTAATACAGTTGATCCCCATATTCAGGATATGGAGGCAGGTGGATCTCTGTGAGTTTGAGCCAGCCTAGTCTACAAAATGAGTTCTGATGCAGCAAAAGCTACACAGAGAAACCATGTCTTAAAAACAAACAAATATAAGAAAGGAAGAAAGATGGAGGAAGGAAGGAAGGAAAAAAGAAATTGTAATATTGAAGGTACCCTCTTTCTCATTCTATTTCAGGAAAACCAGTGCAGCCTGTCAAACGGGAGCTTCTTCGGCACAGGGATTACAAGGTGGACTTGGAGTCCAAGCTTGGGAAGACAATTGTCATTACCAAGACAACCCCACAGTCTGAAATGGGAGGGTGAGTAGATTTTTGTCCTTCTCTAGTACCAATGCTGGCTTAATAAACTATATTGGTTTTAGGATGTGTTGAGATCTCTGTTGAGATCTCAGGCTAGGGATGGCACCCTTATTGACCATAACTCAATGGTTTGTTTTTCTTTGCCCCCTGAAGTTTGAAGTCTACTCAGTCCCAATTTCTAGGAGGGGTTCTGTGGGCTGCTTCCTGTCATTTGTGTACTACTTTCCTGATGTCTTCAAAGGGGTTATATAATCTGTCGGGAAGGCACTGGGGTGTTTTAGGTGAAGCTGCTAACTGTAGTTGTTATACACCAAGACTGTGACCTATACAAGGGTTCCACAGAGGTTGCCAGACTTTTGCCACCAGTCCTTCAAGACTATAAAGGTAGAATTTGCATCAGGAGAATCATGAGATAATAGTTAGCTACACTTCTGCAGATGTTTTAGCTGTCTTTGTTGTATAAATTAGCAAGTTAAATATTAAGGGTCATGTAATAATAATAATAGCTCATAGTATCGTGGACATGGAATTGAGGGGTAGTTCAGAATCTTGGAGGTTCTGAATCAGTCTCCAATGAAGCTGCAATCATGGAACTGGCTAGGTTTGCATTCACTGAGGCTTAAATAAAGTTAGAAGATCCTCTTCCAGGCTCTCACATGCCTATGGTTTGGAGACTGAAGTTCATCCTGTGGGCCAATTTGTGAAGTATAAAGAGATGAGTTTCCCTAAACCAAGTCATCCCCACATACCTGCTCTTAGGAGGCTGAAGCAAGAGGATTGCTGCAAAGTTATAGCCTACTTGAGCTACAGGTTTAGAAGGGTTAGAGCTTTTCTGTAAAAAAAAACGAAAGAAAGAAAAAAACAAAACAAAACAAAACAAACCCCAAAAAACTCAGGCCTGTGGCACACACATAAAATGTAATTCTAGCACTTAAGGAGGGTCAGGATGAGCTCTGCAAATCTGAGTCAGTCCCAGGCCAGTTAATGTCATGATTAATAAAACATACTTCATATAAGTTTACCAAAAAGTTGAATTTCTTCACTGAAAATAGTTAAGCTCCTTAAAAATCAGATTGAACCATGTGCTGTTTCTTCCTGTTTATCAGCTACTACTGCAATGTCTGTGACTGTGTGGTGAAGGACTCCATCAACTTCCTGGATCACATTAATGGAAAGAAACGTAAGACTTGGAGGTAGTTCATGATTGGAGCTAGGATTGGGTTTTAAAGGTCTGTTTGAGGGGAAATGTGGTAGAGTGGT